AAAGGAGAAATCCTGGGCTGGGGATTTTAGCTCAGTGGTGCTGCTGCATACCTTGCAAGAGCAAGGACCCGAGTTGGATCCCCAGTACCAAAAAAGAAATTGGTAGATAACGTTTTCATGTGTCTACAGAAACCAGTTATCCTTTTTAACCATTTAAAAAAAATAATGTAATTATCCGCAGGTGTGGTGGTACACACCTGTAATCCTAGCACTTGGGACACTGAGGCAGGAGTTTAAGGCCAGCCTGGGCTACATAGTCCAAGGTCAGCCTAAACTACAAAGCAAGACCTTATCACCAAAGAAAAAGTATTATAAACGTCACTATTAACATTGGAATGGAAAGAATGGTTTTATAATGTAGAAGTTCTAAAATATAATAATGGATGACAACCTAAATATTTAACACAAGATGGAAATTTTGCTGAGTTTATGGATAATTCTTTTAGATGACATAGGATATGGTAAGACTGGATATTGTATCAGGCTACATGAGTTATAATAGCTCTACAGGTTACAGAAAAATGAAGAGCGTAGTATTTATTGAAGATTAAAAGATTTTGTATACAAACGTACATAGTTCCTAGGCCAGTGCCTGGCACAAATGTTAAGTATATACAGAAGTATTTTCCACATTTGCTTTGATTAATATTATTCTCAAGACTAAATGATTTTTTAAAAATTTAATTTGGTAATAATTTTAAACTTACATAAATATTGCCAGAATAGTACTCAAAACATGCATGTGACACCTGCCTAAGTATGTTCATTGAAGATTGTCCCCTTTGCTTTCTTTGCGTGTTCACGCTCAAAACTTTCTTATTGACTCATTGGTAATAAGTCAATACATTAATGGTCCCTTACCTCTAAATCTTACATACATTTCCTAAGGGTATTCTCTGAGATAACTACAATACCATTATTAACTTCAGTAATTTTACCAACCAGAAAGTAAATATTGTTATGTACTGTGTGAGTTCCAGTTTCATTAAGTCATTCAACAGTGTTGCTTTTTTATAGTATGTTCCTCTTATTTCCAGTCCAGGATTCATTCTTAGGATCACTTATCTTTTAGGTATCTCAGTTGTCATTTTTGATTCACATTTTTTCTTTTCCTCCTTGAAACAGGGTCTCTCTGTGTACTTTAGTCTGGGCTTGAACTGGTAATCTTCCTACTTTACCCTCCTGAGTGTTTGGATTATAGGCATCGGCCCTCACACCCAGTTTTGATTCACTTTTAAATTGTATTCTGATTGAACTGATCTAACAGTTAAAAAACAAAAAACAAAAAAACCCGAAAATGTGGCTATATTATATTAAGATTAATAGAGACCACTCTCACTTTTTCTATCATGCCCTGTACTCTTTTTAATCCCAGCACCAGGGGAGGCTGAGGCAGGAGTATTGTAAATTTGAGCCCAGTAGGGTGTGTTGATTCCTGCCTGTGATCTCAGCACACTTAGGTAATCTTTGCACTTGAGAAATGGAGGTTGGGGAATCACTCCAAGATTGTAACCAGCCTCGGCTACCCAGTGAGTTCAATGGTTCAAAATCAGCCTGAACTACATAATTGATACCCTGCCTCAAAAAGAACAAAAGAGTGTGAGCCCTGTCTGGTAAATTTAGCAGTTTAGCCAGACTTATGTCTTGAAATTTGAAAAGGGGTTTGGGACTATAGCTCAGAGCAAAGGTCACTGGGTCAATCCTTGGTGCCAGGGGAGCTGGGGTGGGTTGAGGCTCCCTACGTCTCCTCAGGTAACAGAAATGGGAAAAAACTTTTCTTAAGTTGCTTTATAGAGATTTTTCTTTGGCAGTTTATAGAATGTTTAATGGCATTAAACTTAATGGTATAGATTAAGTTATAAGTTAATTTTTCAATTTTTTTAGTACATGCTTATAGTTCATAATGATTATTACATTCCTTGTCAGGAGTTGGTACATGAACTAACACATTTAATTCTTTTTTCATACCCTTCCCACTCACCTCCCTCCATCCTTGGTCCTCTTTCTTTTTGCAAAAAATTTATCTCTCTTCCTATCATAAATATTTTATTTTGCTCTTTATATTTTGGTTTCTTGTATAAGAGAAACTATGTGATATTTAAGCTTGTGTGTTTGATTTATTTCAGTTAACATGGTCTCAGGGTGCACCCATTTGTCTGCAAAATACTCAAGTTTATCCTTTATGGCAGAGTAGTACTCTGTTGTGTTTAAATAACACATTTTTTAATCCATCTGTTGATGAACATATAGGCTGCATTCAAGCTATTAATTCAAGCTGTTATGAATTGTGCTGCTATAAACATGAGTATTCAGGTATCACTCAAATTTTTGCTGAACAAGTGTCCTTTTCTATAGACATTGAAGTGCAGTGGTTTAGAAGTGTCTGTTGGAAAGTCAACTGATTTGGATATAAGGAAAATTTGTATTATCTTGCACTTTGAAAGAACAGTTTAAAAATGTTAAGGGCTAGGGATTTAGCTCAGTGGTGCTGCCTGCCTGGCAAACCCAAGGACCCAAGTTCAATCCCCGGTACCAAAAAAAAAAAAAAAAAAAGTTACCACACAGTTTCATTTGTATCTTTATAGTAAGACCTTTTAATATTTAATTTTGAACATTGTGAAAAATGGATAGTATCAACCTAGGTGTAGATCTACTCCACCTGACACTGTATGTTACTTGTTTGTAATATTTTATTTATTTATTTATTTATTTGGTACCGGGGATTGAACTTGGGTCCTTGCGCTTGCAAGGCAGGCCACTGAACCACTGAGCTAAATCCCCAGCCCTATAATATTTCATATATGACTTCAGTATACTTTCTGATGAGATAGTTCAATTGTGCATAAAATAGTAGTTTAATTCTGTTAGATAATGTGAGCTGAAGTTTTACATGTCACAAATCTTTGGTCTCTTTCTGGTCTGTGCTCAGTTGATAAAGTTACATTGAGCAAGATATGAAACAAATCTGAGAATTAGCCATTTTGTTTTGGGTTTTGTTTTTTGTTTTTTGTTTTTGTTTTGTTTTGGTTTTTTTTTGGTACCAGGGATTGAACTCAGGAGCTCGTGCTTGTTTGTACTGTAGGCAGTGGCACCACTGAGCTAAATCCCCAGTCCGGAATTAGCCATTTTAACTTTCTCCTTGGCCCTCAGCTGCATTATACCATTATTTGTTTTTTAATTGGACTATTGGCCACAGGGGAACCAGGTGAGAGAATTTGGATATTGATACAACTCAAGCTGGTGTTGGAAAAACAACAGAAGATACGTGCTATGGTTTATGAAGCAAAGTGCATTTGTTCCTGTTTTTTCATTGTCCTAAAGTTGGCTTTTTTTTTTTTCCGTACTGGGGATCAAACTCAGGATTTTGTTCTTTCAAGACAGGGGCAGTGCCACCGAGCTAAATTCCTGGCCCTTTGTCCTAAAGTTTTATTTTGTGAAGAAACTCAATTATTTGTCTTGTATAGTTTTTTACTGTTTAGCTGATTGCATACCAGTGGATTAATATATCCTTTGTAATTCTAATAAATTGGTAGAGAATAGTTTTTAAATAGTCTGATTATATTGTGTTTGTTGGTGACATACGGTTACCATATTGTGACTGCACTTTCTGTTGCCTGAATTTTATTGTGATCTTATAGTCCATTGATTCACTTCTTATTAGTGAGCTTCTCCATTAGACGGGAATTTACTTAGCTTTTACAAATGACTTTATTTCACCTTTCTCAAGTTAAGGCTCTATGTATATCTGAATTGAAAGCAACTTGCTTAAAGATAGTAGTCACTGTTTCTCTTTTTTTTCTCTCTTCAGTCTTCACTATTAGTCTTTAAAGAAGCCTTAACATTTTCTCTTCACTGTAGCCTTTCTACAATTTATATGACATATTTAGTTTTATAGCATTAAGTTAGCTACTTGTGTCTGAAAACTTTTCTATTAAATCTATAAAGTCCTCTTTGTGTGCAAATACTATGTTTAGGAAGATATAAAGCATTTTATTATATGATACTTAATGATTTGCTTTTTCTGCTATTTCAGCTTAAAAAGTGTATTGCTAATTTCCCTCCTATACTACCATTGTTTACCTTACATTAACATTTAAAAATTAATAAACTGAAGGGTAATTTGGACATCTTTTTTACTTTTCCTGTTGCTGTTTTTGGATATGACTTGACTTTTCAATGTTGCATTGTGATTTTTTTGTGCACTCTTTGTGTTAGGTCATCAGGTGGCTGTATTTGTAATTTATAGAAGGCCTTTTCTATTTATTTATTTAGGTACTGGGGATTGAACTTGGAACTTTCCACTTGCAAGGCAGGCAGCGGAACCACTGAGCTAAATCCCTGGTCCCTTTTTCTTATTTCTAATGAATGTTTTTATATAGGTATTTCAGGAGCCAGCAGAAGAAGAAAGAGATGGCAGAAAAAAGAAATACCCTAGTCCCCAGAAGTCTCGTTCAGAATCTAGTGAACAAAGGTTTGTGTTTTTCTTTTATTAGGAAGACTTTGCTACTTCAAGTAGTAGTTGCCTAGCAAAGACTTTAAATTAATTCAAGTAAAATATATGTGTTTATATTTTGACTCTTTTCTTGTTAAACCCATTAAAGAAGTATTACCATTCTTCTTTCCATTCTGTTTCTCCTCTTGTCTTCTTTCTGTTCTTTTTATAAGCAGTCATCATTATGTTTTTTCCCCAAGAGCTCAGGGGTGGGAGCAATCTCCTTAGAGAATAGCAATGAAATGTTCCATTTGGTCAGGGGTGCTCACGATTAAAATCATCTATGTTGTATTATAAATGGTGTAGTTTTTGTGTGGCATCATAAACCTACCATCAAAAAACCGATTTTAAAAAGTTTTGGGAAAGCTTTGTTTTGAGCCTTTTTTTCTTGTTTTATTTGTCCCCCCCCCAATAGATTGGGTTCACCTTTTAAAAAAATTTCTCCTTACCCAGTGCACTTCGAGTGGGAATATTTTTTTCCCCTTTTGTATAATGGGTTAGAAGAATTATGGGGTCCTCTTTACACTCTACAAAAGCACAGACATGAATTTTGATGAGTGCAGATCATCTCCTAGTCTGAATTTGTTGGCAGACTTCATTCTCCGTCCTACGTATGGCTTTTATATCTGTGCACTATAGGACACGTGAGAAGAAGAGAGAAGACGGCAAGTGGAGAGACTATGAGCGCTACTATGAGCGGAGTGAGCTGTACCGAGAGAAGTATGACTGGAGAAGAGGCAGGAGCAAGAGCCGCAGTAAGAGCCGAGGCCTGAGCCGAAGCCGAAGCCGCAGCAGGGGGCGCAGCAAAGACCGGGATCCCAACAGGAACATTGGTGAGTTGATGAGATGTTCTCTGAGGCTTTGCAGTTTCTTTTTTTTAAGTTTGAGTTTCTTACATTCTTAAAGGTAAATGTTTCCTTTAATATGTCTAAGCAATGTAAAAATTGTAATTACCTCAAAAAGCTGAATATCAGTTTTGTTACAAAGATAGGGCTATTTGAATTAGAGTCAAGGAAATTTGACTAAAAAGAAGCTACTCATAAGGTATATTACATGTTTAGATTTAAGTAATTAATTCACAAAGCTGTCACTGAAGGAAAAGCGTTGCCTGGTCTGCTTTTTTTGGAAAAAGTAATTGATTTTCTGTAAGGTTACCTAAAATTTGCACAAGTAAAAGGAAACCAGTCAGGATAGTGTATGCCTGTAATTCCAGGTCTCTGGAAGCTGAAACAGGAGGATCAGAATTTTGAGCCCAGCTTGGGCAATTTAGTGACTCAATGAGACTTTTTCTCAAAATGTAAAATTAAAGGATTGGGGGTGCAGAGGCCCTGGGTTCTAGCTCCAGTACTGCCAGAAGAAAAAGAAAAAAAAAGTTAAAATAGATTATGCGATCCCAGTGATTGATCTCCTAAAATGTTGATTTGGCAGTTGGTTCTTGGGTAGTAGCATTCCTATTAAATATTAGTGAAAAGAGCCAGGTTTGGTGGCACATGCTTGTAATCCCAGCACTTGGGAGACTGAGATAGGAGGGGATCACTGTGAATTTGAGGCCAGCTTGGGCAATGCAGTGAGAACCTCTCTCAAAAAAAAAAAAAAAAAAATTAGTGAAGAAGCTGACTTTTTTTCAATCAGTGTAATTGATATTGATACAAAAGATAATGTTTCATAAGGTAGGTCACATTGTTAATGCTCCTATTTTTAGGGTGTATTAATCATGACAGCAGTTTGAAAAATGGGTAGCTTAGTAAATTTATTCCAGTATTCTTGTCTTTCCTGTTCTGTGAGAAAATAAGCATAGTTAAGAACATAAGTGACTGATCTGTTTCTTGTTTTTATTTTCTCAAGCAGAGCACAGGGAAAGATCCAAGTTTAAGAGTGAAAGGAATGATTTGGAGAGCTCCTATGTGCCTGTGTCCGCGCCCCCACCGAACTCTTCTGAGCAGTACTCCTCTGGGGCACAGTCTGTTCCCAGCACTGTGACTGTCATTGCACCTGCTCACCATTCTGAAAACACCACCGAGAGTTGGTCTAATTACTATAACAATCACAGCTCTTCCAATTCTTTTGGTCGAAACCCACCACCAAAGAGGCGATGCAGAGATTATGATGGTAAAACTCCTCCCCTTTTCTTACATCATACCCAAAAGCAAATGTTGCATATATTGCAGATCTTTTCTTTATACCCTAGATTGTGTTAAAAAGGATGAATGGGGAGGAGAATTTCTTTATTAGGTATACCATAAAGTTTGATACTATAAATTTTTAATGTCTTTGTATAGTGTTTGGTCCTGGGAATTTGTTAAGCATGTGAAACCTACAAGTTTGATTTTCTGACTTTCCATTTGAGTGAATGAATCTGAATCTGGGTACTGTGTTTATTTATTTTTTTATCATGGAGATATTTAAAAATTTGACAGAATATAATTAATGATAGTATGTCTATCACCTATTTTCAACAATGACCAAATCATGGACAATCTGTTTTGTTTTTTTGTTTTTTGTGTTTTGCTTTTTTTTTTTTGAGACAGGGTCTTGCTGTGCAGTTCAGGCTGATCTTGAACTCACTGCGTAGCCTAGGCTGGCCTAGAACTCACACCAGTCCTCCTGCCTCAGCCTCCCAAGTGCAGGGATTGCAATTGTGCACTGGACAATCATTTTTATTTATATTCCTTCATGCTTGTCCTTGTCTTGTATTATTTCAAGCAAATCTAATTATAACTTTTATTCAGTGCTAGGGATTGAATCCAGAGCTATGTATATAGTTAGGCAGGCACTATACTAGTGTAAACTCCCAGACCCTCCTTTTTTTCCTATGTAGAATGCATCTTTTAAAAAAAATTTATTTATTTGTTTATTTATTAATACTATGATTTTTTCTTTCTTTATTGGGTTTTTTGAGACAGTCTCACTATGTAGTTCAGTCTGGCATTGAATTCATGGTGATTTTACCTCGGCCTCCCAAGTGCTGGGATTTAGGTGTGCACCACTATGCTCAGCTTCACTTTATTTATTTTTAAGTGGGGACTAGAGCCAAATCATCCTTTAAGCATTTACCTTGATCCTCTGGATTCCCAGGTAGCATTCTCTTTCCCAAGGCTACCTTGATAGCATCAATTTCTTTTGTATTTTTCCAAATGCAGTTTGCATGGGTACTGTATAAAGATGCATACTTATTCTCTCCCACTTTTTTTTTACATATGTGCCAGTGTACTATTTTCACATGATTTTTTTCATTTAGTATTTCCCAACAGTAATTCTATATTAATACAGAAAAAACTTCCCCCCCTTTTTTTATTTTATTTTATTTTATTTTTTTTTCCAGCTTTGAGTTTATTGGTACATTTTAGGGATACAGTACGGTTACATTCATTGTTGGGATCTTGTACCTCTATATGACAGGTCTTAGTTCTCATTTTTTCCCCTTGTCCCTGCCCTCCCTTCACCCCCTCCCCGCCTCCCCATCTACAATCACTTTATTTCCATCTTTTCATTATCTCACATTTTTTTCTTTTCCCTTTTTACCCTTCCCCTACCCATCCCACCTTCCCTACACCTTTAGCTCCTTTCTTCCCATTTCTCAATGTCAGTAATCTTATTAGGATCTTCTGTATTATTGCAGATTATTCACACCAGAGAAACTATTGCGTATTGACACATGTGTGCCTTATTTCACTTAGGAGTATATCTTCAATATGTATCCATTTTCCTATGAATGAATCTATTTTCTCATTCTTTATGACTGAGTAATATTCCATTTTATAGAAAAACCACATCTTGTTTATCCAGTTTTCAAACGGATGGGCAAATAGGCTGTTTCCAAGTTTTAGCTATTATAAACTGTGCCGCTATAAACATGGGTGCGCATACTTCTCTGTGATATGATTCTTTTAGTTCTTTTGGAAAGATACCCACAACAGAACAACCCCGCCAACATTTGTTATTGTGTGATTTCTTGATAGCAGCCATTCTTTGTGGGGTGAAGTGGAATCTCAGTGTTGTTTTCATCTGCATCTCTCGAATGATCAGTGATGTGGAACATTTTTTCATATATTTACTTGCTGCTTTTACTTCTTTGTCTGAGAAATGTCTGTTCATTTCGTATGCCCATTTTTGAATCGGGTCTTTATATTTACGGGGGCTGATTGTTTTGAGTTCTTTATATATATATATTTTTTTCAGCTTTAATTGAGTTTATTGGTACATTTTAGGGATACAGTACAGTTACATTCATTGTTGGGATCTTGTACCTTTACATGACAAGTATATATTCTTGATAATAGTCCTTTGTCTGAGGAATAGCTGGTAAAATTTTTTTCCCACATTGTAGATTGTCTCTTAGTTCTGCTGATGGTTTCTTTTGAAGTACAGAAGCTTTTTAATAAGATGAGATCCCATTGTTGATTCTATCTGCTAGTTCCTGTGCTACTGAGGATTTGTTCATAAAGTCTTTTCCTATGCCAATGTCTCCTAGAGTTCTGCCTAACTTACCTTCCAGCAAGTTTAATGTTTCTGTTTTAATATTTAGATCTTTAATCCATTTGGATTTTAATTTAGTGCATGGTGAAAGATAAGGGTCTAGTTTTAGTCTGTGGCAGGTTGAAATCCAGTTTTTCCAACACCATTTATTGAACACACTATCTTTCCCTCACTGAGGATGGTCAACTTCTTTGTCAAAGATGAGGTAGCTGAGTACATCTGGGTTTTTTTTTGTGTCTTCCAATCTGTTCCACTGATCCTCAGGCTTGTTTCTTTGCCAGTACCATGCTGTTTTTATCACAGTGGCTTTGTAGTATAGTTTCAAATTGGGAATTGTTATACCCGGTGCCATGTGTCTCTGTTGCCTAAAATGGCTTTTGCTATTCTAGGTCTCTTATGGTTCCAAATGAATTTTTGGATTCTTTTTTCTAGTTCTGTGAAATACAGTGTTGGAATTTCAATTGGCTTTGCATTGAATGTATATAGAAAAAACTTCCCCCTTTTGTTTAGGCTTTTTAGTCTATATGTACAAAAATAGGTTAATCTAATAGCTAGAAGCCTGGTCTTGATCCTGTTATTTTTATCTTAATAAGTCATACATAGTATAGAAAGTAGGGAATACACCTGCCTCTACCTCAGTAATATGTAATGGTTAACAGAATAACACTAAGAAGACTGTAGACTCCATGGAGAAAACTACCACCATATAAATCAGAAAGGTAGGCACTGGGCATTGTGGCGCACATCTATAATCCCAGCACCTGGAAGCCTGTGGCAGGATTGCCAAGACCAGCTTGAACTGCCTAGTGAGACCCCTGTCTTAACAAATCAGAATGGAGGGATTTTCAGGGATTTTTTTTTTTTTTTAACTTTAATAGGTCATAATAAAATTCTTTTTTATCTTTACAGAAAGAGGATTTTGTGTACTTGGTGACCTTTGTCAGTTTGATCATGGAAATGATCCTCTAGTTGTTGATGAAGTTGCTCTGCCAAGTATGATTCCTTTTCCACCCCCTCCTCCTGGTCTTCCTCCTCCACCACCTCCTGGAATGTTAATGCCTCCAATGCCAGGCCCAGGCCCAGGCCCAGGCCCAGGCCCAGGCCCAGGTCCCGGCCCCGGCCCTGGCCCAGGCCCAGGTCCTGGCCATAGTATGAGACTTCCTGTTCCCCAAGGACATGGTCAGCCTCCGCCTTCTGTTGTGCTTCCCATACCAAGTAAGTTTATGTTGGCCGAATGGATCTTTGGTAGTGAATTCTGCCTAAAAGAACCTCATCTGTTTTTATACCCTGTTTTAGAGTGTTTGAAAAATAAACTAGTGATAGAATTTGAAGTATATTCTTATAATTAGATGCTGTTCTTTCCTTTTTGGCATCCATTATTATGGTGTTATGCGTAGTATTTTCAGTGTAAATTTTGTCTGTAGTGACCAAACTGATAAGTCCCTGACTGGGTCAGAAGAATAATTTTACTGATGCATAGCACTTATCTTTCCATTTCTCCATTTTTTATTTGGTGCTTCTCACAACACATTGCAAACAATAGTACACTTTACACATACTTAGCATTAACTTAATCCTTTTGTAGAAAGCTATAAACCTAGAAAAACTTTTTATGTCCTTTTTAGCCATTTTATACTTCAACACAGACAACAGTTCGTTATTTTTTTAATCCTTGATTATTTTTGCCTGTTCTAGAACCAAGACTATCATTTGAATTAATTATACAAAGCTCAAAATAGATAAGCCTGCTTACATCAAATTCAAAGCCTAGGTAGATCTTTCAAGTAAGAATATCTAAATTACTAACAGTGTGTGAGTATTTTTATTAGGAAAAATTAATGCTGTACCTCTCACCTTTTGTAATCTGTAGGACCACCCATATCACAGTCAAGCTTGATAAACAGTCGTGACCAGCCTGGGACAAGCGCAGTGCCCAATCTTGCACCAGTGGGAGCAAGACTACCTCCTCCTTTACCCCAGAACCTCCTTTATACAGTATCAGAACGTAAGTGAATGGTTTAACTGGAGATTACTAGGATATAGAAAAGCCAAGATTTCTTATGTCACCATAATGCTTTTAAAAATTAGTTTACATTTTTATGGACTGTGTACTTATAAAAATTGTATTTCTATTCACAAAGCAATTTACCAAGTACTCTTGCCATATAGGCATATGTTAGTGTTATATGACAGAGAAAGGCAGTGTGTTCTGTTTTGAACAAGGGCTTCTGTTTTGGAAAACTCCTCTGACTTTAAGGTTTCAACAGTCAGCCTCTTCTGTCATGTCTCCCGTGGAGCATCAACATTTTAGTCTTCTTTTTTTTTAATTAATTTTGGTTTTGTGAGATAGGGGCTCACTATGTAGTCCATGCTGACCTTGGACTCAATTTGTAGCCCAGGCTGGCTTCAAACTAGATGGGTCCCTATGCCTCGCTTAGTCTTCTGAAGCAAATTATTTTGAAGTTTCTAAGTTTCTGAAATTCAAGGTCTGTCTCCTAAAAAGTGTGCAGAAGGTTGGGTAAAATACGTTATTTAACTTGTGTGCCAACATGAAGATAAAGTGCATCATTTAAATTGTATTAATGTTTTGTGTTTAGGCTAGTGTAGCATACATGTTTATATAGAATGTTTTTCTTGACTCCTAATTCTTTGAGAACTTAAATGTATTCTTGTTGTTTTTTTACTAAAATTTTAAGAAAATTCCTTTCTCCAAAATCAATTTTTAAAAGGTCATTGGTTGTTAAACAGGTGAGATTATGAGATTTTTCTCTTTATACAGATGCTTAATTGTGGATATGTTCATCTTGTTATGGAACTGTGTTTACCAGAAAGTTTTGCCTCCTAAACATTTCTTCATATCTTTATGTCATGGAGAAGCAATTGACGAAAGCCGCTAAGCCTGGTTTCTTCACATAATGTCTTTGTGACCTTGGACAAATGACTTAAGGTTTTTTTTAAAGAATGAATAATACATATAATAATAATAATACATATAAAGCATGTTTTTAAAAAGTATCTGGTATCTACTCAACTGTAAGGATTAAGTTATTACTGAAATTTCTATTGTCCAATTTTTAAAAAAATTTTATTCAAATTTGAATTTCAAGCTCTGAAATCAGAACTGTTATTTTCTCCTTGAATCTCTGCCATTCACTATTCATGTCTTTGTCAATAGCAATAACTCACCCAGTCATCTATAATTGAATGCTTCATGTGGCTGACTCAACTGTTTTTCTTTTCTACCTGCTCCTCCTTTTTTGTGGTGAAGGGAATTGAACCAAGGGTGTCAGGAGGCCAGATAAGCAGTCTACTACAAAGCCACCACTTCCCTGGCCCTACTTTGCTTTCTTTAAAAATCTAATCAAAAGTCCTTCCCCTTTTTCCTTGAAACATACATTATATATTCATATAATGTGATATATATATATATATATCACATTATATAT